ACATAGGCAATGTATACTGGTTATTTACAATTATGATAAGTGATAATGCTAATTATAATAATATAATTATGCAGGTGTATGCATAAATACACCTGCTTATAATTATATAAGAATGAGATTATAATTCATTCGCAGGTGTATGCGAATGTTTATGCGGGAGTACGGATACAGGAGGACACATGATACGTGAAAATGATACAGCACATATCGGTACTAATATGCAGAGCCTTTTGGGCACATACCAAGCGAACTGTTTCTAATCAATATTTTGGTCATTAGAACATAAGAACAAAGGACACTGCAGAAGGTCTATTGACCCATACGAGGCAGTTTCTATTGACCCATACGAGGCAGTTCCTATTGACCCATACGAGGAAGGTCCTATTGACCCATACGAGGAAGGTCCTATTGACCCATACGAGGCAGGTCCTATTGACCCATACGAGGAAGGTCCTATTGACCCATACGAGGCAGCTCCTATTGCCCATACGAGGAAGCTCCTATTGACCCATACGAGGCAGCTCCTAGTTATATCCACCCAAACATACATACATTTCTAACTTACGATTGAAGCCATCTCGCGGCTCCAGGTCTATTGTGTTACTCGATTATCTATATCATCTATATCTATATTCTATATCATCTTCGTATCCAATCTTAAGTGTACGATTTTAGTCCATCCGGAACCCTCCGGTACGACACGCATTGTATATCGTTTTGAATACATGATATCTTGACACTTTAACAGTTTAGTAAACTAATGGCCAAAGTTTCCCTAAGACTTGATTAATATTTTGTTACATAGGCGAGGCTGAGTGATTAAATTTAATATATTAAATTGGTATTTTTTTCGGGGCTCCAACCTGCTCGTCGAATGTTAATTTAAAATGAAGACAGATTTTCCAGGAAGAGTTAGAGGGGGAGAGGACAGGCCACACAATACCTGTTCCAATACCAAAGGCAATTCCAGTAGCCTAGATATGGAAGCTTGACGAGTGTCAACAATACGCCGCCGGCGATATTGGGTACTCGCCAAAAAAGATAGATAGAGATAGAGAAAGAGAGATAGGAATAGAGAGAGAGAGAGAGATTTCCCAATTTTTTTTACCAGAGACGGCAGCAGGGAGATAAAACAGATGACTTCGCCAGAGAAAGGTGAAAGAACACGTTGTCGTTCAAGTGGAAATAAGAGGAAGAGATGCTGTGTCAAGGCAATATATAAAAGGGAGAGATTTGCAGTTTTGTGTCAAGAGCAAAGCAGAAAGTGTCAGTTTCAGACCAAGGAAGGGGGCAGGACGGTGCCTGTTCCAGACCCATATACCGCTGTTCCAGACCCATATACTGCTGTTCCAGACCCAGATACAGCTGTTCCAGACCCATTTACCGCTGTTTCAGACCCATTTACCGCTGTTCCAGACCCATTTACCGCTGTTCTAGACTCATATACCGCTATTCCAGACCCATATACCGCTGTTCCAGACCCATATACCGCTGTTCCAGACCTATATACCGCTGTTCTAGACCCATTTACCGCCGTTCTAGACCCACATACCCCTGTTCCAGACCCAGATACCGCTGTTCCAGACCTATATACCGCTGTTCTAGACCCATTTACCGCCGTTCCAGACCTATATACCGCTGTTCTAGACCCACATACCCCTGTTCCAGACCCACATACCCCTGTTCCAGACCCACATACCCCTGTTCCAGACCCACATACCCCTGTTCCAGACCCACATACCCCTTTTCCAGATCCCAGACAGGGGCATGTTGAGTATGGTAACAATGATGATAATCACCTTCACAATCATCATACTAATCATTATTCCGTTTCCTATTTTCAGTGGCAATGAAACAATTCTGATTAAATTCGTTAACGGAATCACAAATTCGTACCTCACGCCCCCCTCCCTCCGCTCACCAGCAGCGTACTAACAGAATATTCACGTCGTACAACGAGGTGAAGAGTGATTGGGCATCAAAATTATTTTAAGATTTCTTCAATCCTTCCTACTGAAGTAATACAACGTTATGGTGCGTTATGGGTTATCTTGAGGTTATCTTGAGATGATTTCGGGGCTATTTAGTGTCCCCGCGGCTCGGTCCTCGACCAGGCCTCCACCCCTAGGAAGCAGTCCGTGACAGCTGACTAACACCCAGGTACCTATTTACTGCTAAGTAACAGGGGCATAGGGTGAAAGAAACTCTGCCCATTGTTTCTCGCCGGCGCCTGGGATCGAACCCAGGACCACAAGTCCAGCGTGCTGTCCGCTCGGCCGACCGGCTCCCCCGAGTACAAACATACCAAATGCAACTTGATACGAAAAGTACCAACCAAAAATCCTCGTTTTCCTTGGATTGGTTAGTTAGGTTAGGTGGGTGGCTTGGAGGTTGGGGCTCTTCTGGTTGGTTTAGGAGGCTGGATTTTGTAGTAGTGGCCCATTCGAGATAACAGGCTGGTTAAAGACTCACTGATGTGTTATTCACTACAGGTGTTCAGGTGAGGGTCGTGGGGCATCGTTTGATTGAATGAACCACATGAATGATCTTCACTCGTGAGCCACATGCATGATTCTTACTGGTGAACGACCCTTGTAGGGGTCGTACGACCCTCACTTACGACTCACACTCTCCAGCTAACTCATAACCTACATATGTGGCTCACAGTCATGTGTGTGAGCCACATGTAAAGAATGTGAGGCAAAATATTAACGTTACTAATAAAAAAATCTCTACATCCTCATATATGTTAAAATTATTTATTTTAATTATCAACAAGAGAAAGACTTTATCATTTGGGTTCATTCCAATTTCACTTCCAATGATCATTTATCAAATAATTATTAACACGTTACAACAATGTTTTGATTATAATGAAAGATATTAATTTAATCCCTTTGGAAAACATTTCATCTCAACCGAATTTTAAGTCTAAATAACAAATGAACAAACTTGAACAACAAAAACATTCTGAACAAAAATCGGTTTATGACCAGAAAACAATACTAACCCGCTGTTTTCTTTCACAATTAAGCATCATATTATACTACCAGTGAAAGAAATAAATAATTACATTTTGCTTTGAAAAAAAATACGCAGCCATGACAGAGAGAGAATGAATAATTCTAATTAATTAAATATCATGAGCGGTGAATAACATTTGCTTTTCATTTTAGATGAAAACTAATTAGCAATATTCTCGCAGCCAGGAATACGTAGTTAAAATCGTAGCAGAGATTATTCTCATATATAGTTTTAACAAACAACAATCCCGTGGGAATGGACAATAATTAGTACGGGTCTGTTAGAGAGAGAGAGAGAAGATTAAGCCACCCAAAAGGTGGCATGGGCATGAATAGCCCATAAGTGGTGGCCCTTTTGAGCCATTTCCAGTATCAATAGATGATACTGAAGATCTGTGGAGGTGCGACTGCACTCTGCGTCACGGGAGATGTCTCCCGTGACGGGTCTGTTAGCGTGAAGTTCAGAGTGATGAAGGTTCAAGAATTATCAGAGGAACGCTCCCAAGTCATTACGACTAAATAACACTGGGAAAGGGTCAAGATAAGGATTTGGAATGGGACGGGTGGAAAGGAATCGTGTCCACAACCACTTGGACGGTCGGGGATTGAACCCCGACTTGCATGAAGGGAGGGGAGTTATCAAGAAAAAGCACCAAGCCATTATGGCTATTTAGCACTGGGAAGGGGGCCAGGATAAGGATTTAGAATGGGACGGGTGGAAAAGAATCGTGTCCACAACCACTTGGACGGTCGAGGATTGAACCCCGACTTGCATGAAGCGAAAGATCGTCGCTCTACCGTCCAGCCCAAGTGGTTGGATATTGAGGGGTAGTGTGTGTTGTGCCGTAAATGTGAATTCGAGATTGTAATGCAGTGCACTCTGATCTTAGCATGAAGGTAAGGAGGTAACAGTGTGTTACCTTAATGAGAAGGCAAAGCTGTAATATGGTGTGCTGGAAGAATCAAAATCTTTAGATAATATTTAGGAATTACGTAAAGCGATGAATGCTCCTAATATGATAAAAACCGCCTTGTTTGTGTTTATAAATGATACGAATATGAGTAGAAAGAGTTATAGGAGAGCAAAGGGAGTGAAGGGAGAGGATAGAGAGATTGAGAGAGAGAGAGAGAGAGAGAGAGAGAGAGAGAGAGAGAGAGAGAGAGAGAGAGAGAGAGAGAGAGAGAGAGAGAGAGAGAGAGAGAGAAAGGTAAGAGAGGGAACTAGGTGAAGGGAGAGGAGAGAGGCATAGGTAAAGAGAGGGGAGAGCAAATTGGGCGAAAGGAAGAGAAATATGACTGAGCAAAAGGAGGAGAGTGAATCTGGGATCAAGAAAGAAGAAAGATGAGAGAGTATAGAAAAGGGCAAAAGGGAATGTTGATAAAAATGTATTGACAAGACCAGAGATGTTCAAAAGAAAGATGGAGGGAGAGAGAGAGAGGGTGAGATAAACTTGGTGGAAGGAAAAATTGCAAACAAATTGGAAGAAGTTGATGGGAAAAGTCGAGTTGTGAGATACGAAGAGGAAATGAAAGACTGGGTAAGAGAAAGAGAGAGAGAGAGAGAGAGAGAGAGAGAGAGAGAGAGAGAGAGAGAGAGAGAGAGAGAGAAAGAGAAAGAGAGGGTCCAGAAAAACAACAGCAAACAAACTGAGAAAACATGATGTATCAGTGGGAAAATCAGCAGGAATCGTGAGAACGATTCGAACCTATGCTTTGGGTAATTCCTGGGTACTGGGGGGCGGGCATGTTTTTTTTACCCTCGCTGCTCTCCATGACAGACTTTTCCATTGGCCCTCCAGTCTGATCTTAAAGCAACTCTATCATCAGTCAATTATTTTAATTTGCCCTCACGTACAAAATTTAAAGTACTAAGAAGAAAGGTACAAAAACAAGGTGTCAGACAACCAGAGTGTGTGTGTGTGTGTGTGTGTGTGTGTGTGTGTGTGTGTGTGTGTGTGTGTGTGTGTGTGTGTGTGTGTGTGTGTGTGTGTGTGTGTGTGTGTGTGTGTGTGTGTGTGTGTGTGTGTGTGTGTGTGTGTGTGTGTGTGTGTGTGTGTGTGTGTGTGTGTGTGGCAAGAAACAGTGCATTTGGCAATTGTCTCAACAAACAAGGATTCCAGAAGCAGACAAGAGTTTCCTACCTAAGCAAGGATTCTAGCACTGAAGCAGGCTTCCAGGACCAAACAAGGCTTCTAGTAACAAATAGCGTGTCTGACCTCACATAAAAAGAAGGTCAGCAAAAGAGAACAAGCAAATGGGTGTAGGAGAGACCCACCATGATCCCCCACCAGCCAATGTTTTGACTGACACGTTGAAAATATTTTTATGGCTGTTTTCTACACGTGACCTGTGTTCGTCAGGCCTGCAAAAACAGTTTGACAGGCCACTTGTCGGGAACACCTATTCCCCCTCTACCCCACCTTTACCCCATCCCCCCCTTTACAGCAGCAATCCTCTCTATCCTCTCTATTGCAGCACCTTTTTCTGTCTCTCTTGCTGCAGCACTACCCTCTGCTGCTCTTTCTCTACAGTCTCTGTCCTCTTCCTGCAGCAGTTGCAACATCAAAGCAAGAAGTCACTGAAAAGTTGATAATCTGGTTCAAGCAAAATTTGTCTGAATTTACCTGAGGGCCACTCTCTCTCTCTCTCTCTCTGGGGGCTCCAACGAGGTCACAGGAAGCCAGCGGCTTGCCGAAGGTCCTCCAATTTATCCTGAGAATTTGATCGAGCTGGATTCTGAATTTCATTACTGTTTCGGCATTTATGGCTTCGGCGGGTAGGCGGATCCATGGGTATATAACCGCATGAATGACAAAAGCGTTTTGTGTCCTACACTGTGGCTTGTTGAGCTTCAAACCCTTGCTCCTTGTTTATTTTACATCTGACCTTTTGAAGAAGTTGTCCGGATCAACATCCTCCAAACTGTTCAGCATTTTAAAAGTTTCGATGAGATCAGCCCTGTCATGTCTGGTTTGTTAGTCCTGAGGCTCTCAACCGTTGCTGGTATGAGAGTCGACTTTGGATGTACCTCACTCTCAATGCACTCTCAAGAAAAAATGGAATTCTTGCGTTGTCTTCTACATGTAAATATATTTCGTAGAGAACCCGAACACACAACTAGAAGACGTCGTAAGGGAATGTGTTGGTCTTAGTCTTCATAAACCACACATTACGTACGTATTAATCTAAATAAACCGAACATTAATCACAAATTTACCTTAACAAACCTTACAATAATTACGTGTAAGTCGGAGTAAACCGTAAAATAAGAACGCAATTAGCATAAATAAACCATATAATGAGTACGTATTAGTCTAAATAAACTTACAGTAAGTACGTATGAACCTAAATAGTACAACGACGACCACAACGCTTCATGCAGGTCGGGGTTCGATCCCCGACAGTCTAAATGGTTGGTCACCGTTCCTTCCTTACCTCCTCCTATCCCCCGTTCCTATCCTGTCCTCAAATCCCTTTCATGTGCTGTATAACCACATTGGCCTAGCACATTCTCATGATATCTATCTCAGCCTAAATAAGCCTACATACCTAATTATAGATGACGTTCTTTGCTGAATAAATCAATTTCTCAAGATTCAGAGAAAATACAGCGTTATCCTGCATTTTATATGTATCATAAAATTAAATAAATTATACAATACAGCTATTTCACGATAAATAGTCTTATAATGACATACAGTAGATTTAAAATAAAACTTTCAATGGTTATCTTATAGGACAGAGGTTGGTATTTTAGAAGAGAGAGAAAGCATAAGGGACTTACCAGACAGCTAACGGCAAATATATCAGACATTTAACGACATATTTAGCAGACAGCTAACGGCAAATATATCAGACATCTAACGACATATTTAGCAGACAGCTAACGGCAAATATATCAGACATCTAACGACATATTTAGCAGACAGCTAACGGCAAATATATCAGACATCTAACGACATATTTAGCAGACAGCTAACGGCAAATATATCAAACATCTAACGACATATTTAGCAGACAGCTAACGGCAAATATATCAGACATCTAACGACATATTTAGCAGACAGCTAACGGCAAATATATCAAACATCTAACGACATATTTAGCAGACAGCTAACGGCAAATATATCAGACATCTAACGACATGTTCAGCAGACAGCTAACGGCAAATATACCAGAGAGGTAACGGCAAACTTACCAGTGAAATATCACTAAACTTGCCACACAGCTAACGACACACATCCCAGAGTTAACGACAAGCAGGATTGAGAGACAAGTCAGCAGGTAATGAAGAGAGCACCAACAGCTGACAAGGACGTATCAACGAGCGACCCTTAAGCCCGAACCACCACCACTAGACGACTCCTGCAGAGTTAATTTGGAAAGTTGAGTTCGCGCGTTCGATACTCCAGGGCGGGGAAACCGATTTGGGGCAGATTTATACGAGACCTTCAAGGGATCTAATGTCTCTATCATG